CAAGCATCTTCCTCCTATGGGCCTGTAAAATCAAAAACAACTATAATATTACTCTCAAGATACAATGCAGATGCAAGCATTGGGTAAACATTGCCATTCCTGAAGGGAGAAATTGATTAAAAGAGAGAGACTAAAAGCCCCATGCAAGTCTGAAACAAAGCAGGGCAGTCATTAAATCTTAAAGTTCCAAAATAATATCCTTTGACTCCATGTCCCACATCCAGGCCACACTGATGTAAGGAGTGAAATCCCAAAGCCTTGGTTAGCTCTGCTCCTATGGCTTACCAGGGCTGAGCCCTGACAGCTGCTCTCACTAGCTGGTGTAGCTTTTCAGGTGCAGGGTGCAAGCTGTCAGTGGATCTACCATTCTAGGGTCTGGAGGATAATGGCCCTCTTCTCACAGCTCCACTAGGCAGTGCCTTAGTGGGGACTCCATATGGGGCTCCAACCCCACATTTTCCTTCTGCACTGCCCCAGTAGATGTTATCCATGAGAGCCCTACTTTTGCAGCAGACTTTTGATTGGACATCCAGGCTTTTCTATACATCCTCTGATATCTAGGTGGAAGTCCCCAAGCCTCAACTTTTGCATTCTTTGCACTGTAGGCTTAGCACCGCATGGAAACCACCAAGGCTTATAGTTTGCAAACTTGAGCTGTACCTGGGCCCCTTTGAGCCACAGCTGGAGCTGGAGCAGCTGGAATGCAGGGAACAGTGTCCTGAGCCAGCATAGGGCAGCAGGGGGTGGAGGGCCCTGGGCATGACCCAGGAAACCATTCTGTCCTCCTAGGCCTTTGGGCCTGTAATGGGAGGGGCTACCATGAAGTTCTCTGCAATGCCTTCAGGGCCTTTTCCCCATTGTCTTGGTTGTCAGCACTTGCCTTCCTTTTAGTCATGCAAATTTCTTCAGGTGGCTTGAATTGCTCCCCCAAAAGTGGGCTTTTCTTTTCTGCCACATGGTCAGGCTGCAAATTTTTCAAACTTTTATGCTCTCCTTCCTCTTTAAATATAAGTTCCAGTTTTTCCTTATTTCTTTGTTCATGCACATGAACTCTTAGAAGCACCCAGATCAAATCTTGAGTGCTTGCTGCTTAGAAATTTCTTCCCCCAGATACCCTAAATCATCACTCTCAATTTCAAAGTTCCACAGATCCTTACGGCAGGAGCAAATGCCATCAGGTTCTTCACTAATGTGTAACAAAAGTAACCTTTGCTCCAGTTCCCAATAAATTCCTCAACTCCATCTGAGATCTCATCAGCCTGATCATCTCTGTCCATATCACTGTCAGCATTTGGATCACAACAATTTAAAAAGTCTCTAGAAAATTCCAAACATTCCCTCATCTTCCTGTCTTCTTCTGAGCTCTTTATACTCTTCCAACTTATGGCCATTATTCGGTTCCAAAGCTGCTTCCACATTTTCAGGTATCTTTATAGCAATGCCCCACTCCTTGGTACCAATTTTCTGTATTAGTCAGTTCTCACGTTCCTATAAAGAAATACCTCAGACTGGGTAATTTATAAAGAAAAATTGTTTAATTGGCTCACAGTTCCACAGGCTATACAGGAAGCATGATGCTGGAATCCACTCAGCTTCTGGGGAAGCCTCAGGAAAGTTACAAATCATGGCAGAAGACAATGGGGAAACAGACTTGTCTTACATGGCCAAAGCAGGAGGAAGTTGGCGGGAGATATCACACACTTTTAAACAATCAGATCTCATGAGAACTCTATTATAAGAATTGCACCAAAGGGATGGTACCAAACCATTCATGAAGTCCATCCCCATGATCCAGTTACCTCCCACCAGGCCCTACCTACAACAATGGAGATTATGATTTGACATGAGATTTGGGTGGGGACACAGATCCGAACCATATCACCATATAGACACAAAGCATAGCACATCCTTCTAAACCTATGATTAGATCCTCCTACCCTGCCAGATGGGATATGCCCCACACTGTGAAAGTATCAAAGTCCCATTTGATGACAGTCTTATTTTTTCTGTGTTCCTTAACACTTAGTACATATTTTGGAACATTGATTTATACTAGATTGTATTTATACATAATTTTTTTGACACATACCATTATATCTCAATTTTCATATTGTCTTCTCTCACATCCTGGTTCCCCTATTTTGTGCATGAGTGTTCAATTGGCTTGCGTAGTGAGTACATTGCAAACTTCATCAAAAAATACTATCATCCCGATTTCAAATTTAAATAAATTAGGTTTTCATTGATATTATTGTCCATTGATAGTATTTATTTGCTAAAGCTGCCATAACAAAATACCACAGACTGGATGGCTTAAACAGAAATTTATTTTCTCACAGTTCTGGAGGCTGGAAGTCCAAGATCAAGGTGTCAACAGGTTTGGTTTCTCCAGAGGCCTCTCTGAAGAGGCTTGCAAATGGCCACCTTCTCGTTCTCCCCACAGGGCCTTTCATCTGTGAGCATGCACTCCTGGTGGCTCTCTCTTTTCAGAAAGACACTGCTCCTATTGGATTAGGACCCCACCCTTATGATCTTATTTAACCTAAGTATACCTCCTTAAAAGCCCTGTTTCCAATTATAATCACATTAGGGTTTAGAACTTTCATATATGAATTTGGTGGTGGGAGGTGGGCACAATTTATTCCACAACAAATTGTGGTAAGCAGGATTTTCAAATGTCCCCTAAATTTCCTTCCTCCTGATAAGCATGCTTCCCCACTTTAAAGATGATGGATTTTACACTCCTGTGATTTAGTTACACTATATGACAGATTATACATTCAGATAGTGAGATTGTCCAGGTGGGCCAAGCCTAACTCTCAAACTCTTTTAAAGCAGATAGTTTTCTCTGGCCAGTAGCAAAAGGAAAAATCAAAGAGACTTTATTTGATAGAAATATAATATAAAGGAGGTTCTCTGTTGCTGAGAAGAGAGGTGCCATGAGTGCTAGAGAGTGGCCTCTAGGAGCTGACAGCTACCCCTGCAGAGCTGTCACGACAATAGCTGCCTCAATCCTACAGTTGCAAAGAAATAAATTCTACCTACAACCTGAATAAATCTGGAAGTGGATTCTTCCCCAGAGACTCTAGATGAGAACTCAGTCCAGTTGACACCTTGATTTCAGCTTTGTGATGACTTGAGCAGAGAATCCAATCATATCATGCAGGACTTTTTATCAATAGAATGGTGAGATAATATGTGAGTATTATTTTAGACTGCTAAGTACATGGAAGTCTGTTATGTAGAAATAGAATATTGATACATTTAGGTATTAATAGGTTACTAGGCCAACCATAGAGCAATGGAAACAAGTAATTAGAGCTAACACTTCTTCTTCTACCAACATAAAACAAAAGAAAATACATATATCCTCTCCTTGCTCCATTAGGGAGAAAATATAAATTTTTTCCTCTCTGACTTCAAAGACTTGTTTGAGAGGAATCCCTGACTGAAATTTTGATCCAGTATATGTTTAAGAAAATAATGTAATTTATAAGTTTCTATGAGTTTGTGTGTGTGTGTGTGTGTGTGTGTGTGTATAATACTGAAGTTGGAAATTTTAGCAAAGGCCTTTCTGAGGTTTCTCAAATGCAGAAATAGACCAAAAGCTATTTGGGTGGGGACTGGGGAGACAGAGAGCAAAGCATAATAAATGAGGAAGATTTGGGAATGCAAGTGTTGGGAAGATCAGGACTGACAGCTGCAGATTGAAGACAAGGAGAGGATAAATTACACAGCACATTCTCAGGAGAAAAGACAGACCATGGGATGGTCGTAGCAGGGAAATGTCTTTGGAGAACAATTAAAGGACAATTGAATGGATATATATTAATTTATTCTCTTAATGAAACTCTACTGTTCTCTCCCTCTTTGACCCCAAAACTTTAGTCAAAGGCTATGAGACCTCTATGTGAGAGGGGATTGAAGGGAAAGTCTAGTAAAGAGGACTTAATGTTTTCTAACTCAACACTCTACTGATACCAACGTGGTGGCAACAGCATCTCCCGGAGACAGGCCAAAATCTCAAAGCTGCAGTCAGTGAAACCAGCAGAGGCCCAGGTCCAAGCCAAGGACTCCAGGCAGGACCCCGTGATAAGAGAAAAGCAGCCTGCAATGGTTGTGATGGAGAGCGCCTCAACAGAAATACAAGTCTCTAGGACAGGGTTTCTGAACCTTGACACTATTGACATCTGGGGCCCAATAATTCTTGGTTGTGAGGTACCGTCCTGAACATCATAGGATGTTTAGCAGCGGCCCTGGTCTCTACCTCTAGCACTACTGTTCTCCCAGTTGTAACAACCAAACATGTTTTACACATTTATCAATATTCTCTTTGGGCAAAATCACCTAGGTTAAGAACCATTGTCCTGCACCAATCCTTTCAGGGATACTGGGAGAAGCTCTAGACATCTGCAAAACATGGAATATTGACTTAAAACCATAGGACTGAAGAACTCCAGGCTGGAGAAGACTGAGTTACAGTAATATAAGCAGAAATGTAGAGTCAGAAAGAATTTGGGGGTTAGGAGTGGTTGTGCCTTTACATTTAGGTGTTTATGTTTAAAAGGAGAACTCACTGGTCTCTAAAACACTTTTTTCTCCAGGAAATGAAGTTCTGAGTTTCTGCCACCATCAGCAGGCTATGCTGTTTGCCCAATTCAAATAAAATTTTCCTTTAAAAAAAAATCCTAAGTATTTGATTGAAATAACCAAAATGAAGACCCAAAATGAAGTTTTTATGGTTTCCAACAGAGAAAGACTGTGATTTGGTTCAAGCCACTTGTGAGCCGTCTGCCTGCCATGGGTACTGCATTTATAGCACCCTTGATTAGATGTGACATTTTCTCACTCTGAGTATTTTGCCCATATTTGAAGAGACCCACACAGGGGACCTTATTAAAATCTGCAGAAGCCTGTGAATACATGAGGATGCACTTATGTGAAGGGGAGGGAGAGAATGGATTTTTATCTTCTGGGAATCTGGTGGTTTTATTTTATAGGAGCTTACAAAGGAATGAGCAAGAGGGAAGATGCTGGTCTCACTTAAAATGGACTGCAGTACCTCCTCTGCTTGAAATTCAGAGAAGCCAAGGTAAGCAGAGTTGAAATTGTTTTCATGGCCCACTAAAGTGAGAACTGCTTCTTATGTTGAACTCTAGATTCTTCTGCTAATTATAGTGAAGAGATGTGGATGGCACAGAGCAACAGATCACAATGACACCGTGTTTGCTAGGATGCATACATTCAAACCTGTTTCTGCTCACAAAAGGTGTGACTTCCACTCCTCCCAGTGCTATTTGTTCCCGATTTGCTTTTCTGTTAAGCAAATTGGGCTCCAGGAAGACGGAATGGAGATGAGGGTCCAATAGAAAGCTGTTAAATAATGTGAAGTAGGGTCAGATGCAGTGGCTCACGCCTGTAATCTCAGCAGCTTGAGAGGCTGAGGCGGGTGGATCACCTGAAGTCAGGAGTTAGAGACCAGCTTGACCAACATGGTAAAACCCCATCTCTATAAAAAATACAAAAAACAGCCATACATGGTGGTGCATGCCTGTAATCCCAGCTACTTGGGAGGCTGAGGTGGGAGAATCACTTGAATCCAGGAGGCAGAGGTTTCAGTGAGCCGAGAGCATGCCATTGTACTCCGGCCTGGGAGACAAAAGTGAAATTCTGAGAGAAAGAGAGAGGGGGAGAGAAAGAGAAAGGGAGAGAAAAAGAAAGGAGGGAAGGGAAGGGAAGGGAAGGGAAGGAAGAAAGGAAAGGAAAGGAAAGGAAAGGGAAGGGAAGGAAAGGAAAGGAAAGGAAAGGAAAGGAAAGGAAAGGAAAAAGGAAAGGAAAGGAAAAAGGAAAGGAAAGGAAAAAGGAAGGAAAGGAAAAAGGAAAGGAAAAAGGAAAGGAAAGGAAAGGAAAAGGAAGGAAGGAAGGAAGGAAGGAAAAGAATGAAAGAAGAAAGAAAAGAAAGAAAGAAAAAGAGAAAGAAAAAGAAAGAAAGAGAAAGAAAGAAAGGGAAAGAAAGAAAAGAAAAGAAGGAAGGGAGAGAAGGAAAATGAACTAGGCTAAATTTGTCTTCAATCTCCTTTATCTGTCCCATTTTCTGTCTTGGGCTGGTCCTCTCCTCCCATACTTGTTTTTGGCCCTCAAAATCTAATATCTTAGATTTATCATTTTAAGTGAAGCAGCCCATTCACAGCTCCCTTAAAAATCACATGACTCTTCTTCTATTCAAACCCAAACACACCCCAAACTACATATGATTGGATCATGTGCAGGAACAAGAATGAAGACAGCAGTTATGACAGGAGAGAGAAGATGAGGCAGATTCATCAGAAATACCTCAGGAACTTAGTTATAACAAGTGATAAAGTATTGTGTTCCTTTTTTTAGCCATTAAATGGGGCTGCTTTCCTGAACTCCTATTTAAGTAGTAGATGTATAGACATAAAGACAGACTAGAAAGCCCCAAAATAACACTGTACACCCTATGTTGAACTGATCTTCAACAAGGGTGCCAAGAACACAAAATGAGGAAGAGGTAGCCTTTTGATGAATGGTATTGGGAAAACTGAATGTCCACAGGCAGAAAAATGAAAATGGACCTTTATCTCACACCATATACAGAAGTCAACTCAAAATGGATTAAATATTTAAATGTAAGATCTGAAACTGTAGGACTCTAGAATAAAATAGGAAAATCCTTCTTGACATTGGTCTAGGCAATGATATTTTGGGTAATACACCAGAAGCACAGGCAACAAAAGCAAAAAAGACAAGAGGGCTTATATCTGACTAAAAGGTTTCTGAACAACAAAGGAAACAATCAACAGTGTGAAAAGGCAACCTGAAAAATGGAGAAAATATTTTTCAAACATCTGATTGGAAGTTAACATCCAAAATATAAGAAACTCATGTAGCTCAGTAGAAACCAATAGAAATAGCTCCATAGAAAAACAAACAAAAAATAAAATCCCAACTAACTCAATTTAAAAATGGATAAAGGACCTGAATAAATATTTCTCAAAGAAGACATTCAAATGGTCATAGGTGTACAAAATGATACTTCCGTAATCATCAGAGAATTGCAAAATACACCATGAGATATCACTTCACCTGTTAGAATGGCCATTATCAAATAGACGAAAGATGATAAACGTTGGAAGGATGTGAAGAACAGAGAACCCTTGTATACTATTGATGGGAATGTAAATTACTATAGTCAACATGGAAAACAGTATATAAGTTCCATAAAAAATTAAAAGTAGAACTACCTTATGATCCAGCAATCCCACTTGTGGATATATATGCAAAGGAAATCAAATCGGTATTCCAAAGAAATGTGTGCACGCTCATCTTCATTTCAACGTTATTCACAATAGACGAGTTATGGCATCAACCTGAGTGTTGATGACAGACAGACAGACACACACACACACACACACACACACATACATTTACAGAAATATATATATAACATATATATATGTAATGAATTATATGTATTTATATAATGGACTACATGTGTGAGTGTGTGAGTGTGTGTGTGTGTGTGTGTGTGTAATGGAATATTATCCAGCCCCAAAAAGAAAGGAAATCCTCCATTTAGGACAACATGGTGAATGTGGAGGACAGTATGCCAAGTGAAATAAGCCAGTCACAGAAAGTCTGGAGAACAGTGACCCTCTTTTCACAGCTCCACTAACAATTCTGTGTGGGAGCTTCAGACCCCACATCTCCCTTCCGCGCTGCCCTGGCAGAGATTCTTGAGGGCCCTGGCCCTGCTTTTGCCTGGGAATCCAGGCATTTCCATACATTTTCTGAAATCTAGGTGGAGGTTCCTAAACCTCAATTCTTCACTTCTGTGCACCTGCAAGCTCAGCACCATGCAGAAGCTGCCAAGACTTCGGGCTTCCACTCTCTGAAACAACAGGCCAAGCTGTACCTTGGCCCCTTTTATTCATGGCTAGAGCATCTGGGATGCAGGGCACCAAGTTCCTAGATTGCACACAGCCCAGGGACCCTGGAACCAGCCCACAAAACCATTTTCTTCTAGGCTTCCAGGCCTTTAATGGGAGGGGCTGCCATGAAGACCTCTGATGTGCCTTGGAGACATTTTCCCCATTGTCTTAGGGATTAACAATCAGCTCCTCATTACTTATGTAAATTTCTGCTCCATCTTGAATTTCTCCTCAGAAAATGGTGGATTTTTTTTTTTTTAATCACAGTGTCAGGCTACAAGTTTTCTGAACTCTTATGCTCTGCTTCCCTTATAAAACTGAATGTCTTTAACAGCAACCAATTCACATATTGAATGCTTTGCTGCTTAGAAATTTCTTCTGCCAGATACCCTAAATCATCTCTCTCAAGTTCAAAGTTCCGTAAATCTCTAGGGAAAGAGCAAAATGCCACCAGTCACTCTGCTAAAACATAACAAGGGCCACCTTTGCTCCACTTCCCAACAAGTTCCTCATCTCCATCAGAGACCACCTCAGCCTGGACCTTATTGTCCATATCATTATCAGCATATTGGTGAAAGCAATTCAACAAATCTCTAGAAAGTTTCAAACTTTCCTACATTTTCCTGTCTTCTTTTGAGCCCTCCAAACTGTTCCAGCCTCTGCTTGTTACCCATTTCCAAAGTTGCTTCCACATTTTTGGGCATCTTCAGCAGCACCCCATTCTACTGGTACCAATTTACTGTATTAGTCTGTTTTGTGCTGCTCATAAAGGAAAAGAAGTTTGATTGGACTTACAATTCCACATGACTGGGGAGGCCTCTGAATCATAGCAGGAGGTGAAAGGCACTTATTACACGGTGGCGGCAAGAGAAAATGAGAAGGATGCAAAAGCGGAAACCCCTAATAAACCCATCAGATCTCATGAGACTTATTCACTGCCATGAGAACAGTATGGGGGAAACCACCCCCATGATTCAGATATCCTCAGGTCACTCCCACAACATATGGGAATTATGGAAGTACAATTCAAAATGAGAGTTGGGTGGGCACACAGAGCCAAACCATATCAGTGGTCAAGAGGTATGAAGTTTTCGTTATGCAACATAACAAAGCTCTGGAGATGTAATGTACAATAATGTGACACTATGTTAACAATATTGTACTGTACATTTGAAATTTGCTAAGAAGGTAGCTCTGAAGTGGTCTCAACACACACACACACACACACACACAAGGTAACTGTGAGGTGATGGATGTGTTAATTAGCTTGCTTGTAGTGAATATTTCACAATGTATACACATATCAATTCATCCAGTTGTATAATTTAAATATGTGCATTTTTAAACTGGCAACCATACATCAGTGAGGTTGGGAAAAAGTGGCGAAGCAATGGATATAAACAATGGCAGCTGAAGGCAAGACAATGAGGCTGAGTTGGTCTGAAGCAGAAAAAGTGGAGGCGAAGCCATGACCATGAAAAGCAAGTCATTGATTACCTAGCCAATATTTATTGAGCACTTACTAATGTGCCACACACAGCTTCAGGTCTGGAGACAAGACAGTGAACAAATTAGGCAAAGTCCCAGCTCTCATGGAGCTGACATTCCTGGAGAGTGATTAAGGCAATGAAGAGGTAAACAAATACATAAAGTAATATTACATAATGACAAGTGCTATAAAGAAAACAAAACAGGGAAAAATGATAGTGTGACCTCCAGGGGTGGGGTGGTGGTAGAGAGGCTACTATGGGTTGGTGTAGTCAGGAGAGGGCTCTCTGAGGAGGGGAGATTTCAGCTGAGTCCTGAGTAACACAAAGAAATAAGTGCAGGGAGGCTCAGTAGAAATAACATTCCACACAGAAGTCCCAGCACACACAAAGGCCTTGAATCTTGGGTGAGCATGGTGCACACTCCAAAGCAAGAAAGAGAAGCTCTGTGACTAAAACACAGAGAGCAAGAAGAGTGCCACAGAATGTAATACAAATGGTAATAAGGGGGAAATCACCCAGCCTTTGTAGGTCAAAGTGAAGAAAACTCAGGGTCTTTTCGTGAGTGAGATGGGAAGCCACTGTAAGCAGGAAGGTGACATGAGTGGACTTACCTTGGAAGTAGATCATTTGGTGAATGACAGAGTGTAAGG